ACCAGTAGCGTTGTACGGAGCTGAATGCTGGCCTGCAACCAAAGAAGTCGAAGCCCGCCTTAGTGTGATGGAGATGAAAATGCTTCGCTGGACGGCCGGTGTCACGCGTATGGATCGGATTTGCAACGATGACATACGCAAGAAGATTCGGCGTAGCTTCCATAGTTGATAAGATGCGAGAATCTCGTCTCCGATGGTATGGCCACGTACTTCGCGCGAAGGCGGACACCGTCCGTAAGACTGCTCTCCAGCTTGAGGTGCTCGGCAAACGACCTAAAGGACGCCCTAGGCAGCGCTGGCTTGACACGCTGCACGCGGATTTAAAGATAGTTGGTGCTCACCCTGATCAGGCATTCGACCGGGATAAATGGCGTAAGAAAATCAGGAGAGCGGACCCCGCTACAGAGCGGGACAAACGCTGAAGAATAAGAAGAAGAAGAAGAAGCCAAGCTACGCCAACACATATGGTCGTGATAGCATCCACCTGTTGGAGACAGTTACCAATTCTATGATCAGGTAGCAGTGCTGTACCTGGAATCGGCCCACGCAATGGCTGTTGAATGACTGGAGAATTTTAAAAGTGAATAGGGGCCTTGAGGGGTGGTGACGTCCGTTCCTCCAAGTGGTGCCACCGGGACCTGCTCGCTTTTGCGGGCTGAGCAGAACACGGACGAACCGAAAGCAGGCGACAGGCCTTCGTGACGGGCCGGCTTACGAACACCCCATGTCACATCATTATGTTTAACTATGCCTTATGAATTTCGAGATAATGCTACGGCGTCCGCGGGAGCCGACGCGCACTCGCAAGGCCCGACGAGTGTGAAAATATGCGAGGGTCCTCGTTGCAAGGACGGCATCGGGGCAACCAGGCTAGTCCAAAAGACGTGCAGTGTGTCAAAGGCTCGTATTGCGACGCTGAACGTGGGGACGCTGACTGGACGCTCGTACGAGTTAGCAGAAGCCCTAGAGCGTAGAAAGATCGACCTCTGTGCCGTGCAAGAGACGAGATGGGCTGGCTGCAAGTCGAAAGAGTTAGGCCGCGGCTTCAAAGCCGTTCTTTGTGGCGGGCCGAAAACTACAAGTGGTGTGGCCGTGATCGTGTCTCAGCGATTTCGCGATTCGATTGTGAGCGTAGTTCGTTTCGACGACCGTTTGATGAAGATTGTTGTCGCTATTGAACAACGACTGTACCACTTCTTCTCTGCATATGCCCCACAAACTGGATGCTCTGAGCAGTCCAAGGACGAGTTCTGGGCTCTGCTGGACGAGAAGACTGAAGTGCCACCAAAAGACGGTATCATTGTAGCCGGCGATTAAACGGACACGTGGGCGCTGCAAAAGACGGCTATGCTTGTCATGGCGGATTCGGTTACGGTTCACGGAACGCCGATGGTGAGCGAGTCCTTGAGTATGCAGAGTCGCATAATCTCGTCATTCTGAACACAAGGTTTCGTAAACGTGACTCTCATCTCATCACGTTCTACAGCGGGAGTACCAAGACACAAATAGACTTCGTACTCATCAGGCATGGCGACCAAGGACTCGTGACAGACGCAAAGGTAGT